AGATGGCTCAGTTGGTTAGAGCACGTGCACTTAACAACAAGGTTGCCAGTTCGACTCCCACATGGGATGGTGGGCTGTGCCCCTCCACCCCCACAACTAGATTGAAAATGGCAACTGGACTTGGAGCTGAGCTGTGCCCTCCACAACTAAGATCAAAGGACAGCAACTTGACTTGGAGCTGATGGGTCCTGGAAAAACACAATGCCCCCCTTCCCCAATTTCCCATAAAATCTTAATGTATATATTTGTGTGTGGGTAAAATACTGTACAGACCCTGTACAGTTTTGGGAATCAATTTATAAAAACAAAGCAGAAGCATCTAAGAACGTATATTAAGCAGTTTCCTGCAACAATACGTCAATCAGCTAAACTCTAGAAATTAAGGTCCACAGAAAGAGGTCAAATCCATAAAGTCCTTGTACAGAAAGGCTCTCCAGAAACATGGCAGCACTTGGCTACATTTGGGATTTTAGGGGAAAGCCCGAGAGAGGAGAGATTTGAGGTGGATATGACAATGGCAGCAGAGTGGACAAATACAGAGGCTTTGGTTATGGGACGTGGGCAGTCCTTTGACCTATTGGACCGTGGCTGCCTCATCTATCAGACGGGTGTCACACACAGCTCCCCAGTCTCTCAGTCAATTCTGAAACCCAAAGAGCTGTCAGACCAGAGGTCTTCCCCGACTCACTGGGCAGGAGAACCTGACCTACCTTGACACAGGGTCACTTACAATGTCCCTGCCTGGTGGGAACGTTCATCTACTTCCTGGAGAAACACTGATGGGGTTACTTCCAAGTGTCATATGGGGTTCTAAGGGTACAGTGTGCTGTGTGGACTCTAAACCATGTCGCCTCTCAAAACTGAAAAATCCCGGATCCTAAAACACATACATGGAATCAAGGATTTCAAGTCAAGGCTTGCTGGCCCAGAGTGCCACACATCAGGTATCTAGCAAGGAAGCCTACCTTGGGGCACTGCACTGTGCTCAATAATCATTTCCATCTTGCACAGGGCAGGGAATGTTCATGGAAGCTTTCAATGTGTTCAATGTGTGGGCCTGAAGCTGGGAAAGAGAAATGGACCATTTCCAGTAGGGAGGTTCTGGGAGTCACCTGTGTTGACTCGCTTTCTTCTCATGGCTGCATGAGAAGTGTGATCCTGGGGCCAGTCCTGCTACTCTGGCTGCTTTGCTCTCAAACACTGCCCTCTAGTGACTGAGACCATGTCCAGAAACTGAAGCATGCTCTGATGGGTTGGATATTGGCAAAGTACCTCAAGATTCAGGCCACCTGATTTCCTGATAAAGAGCCTGCCACTGATCTTTACCCCAGAAGCTTTAACAAANGTTTTTGTTGTTGTTGGGCACCTGAAATTCAAGTCTAACTGGGCATCCTGTGTCTGATCTGGCAACTCGACCCCCAGGGGGGTCCATCTATCCCATAGGATGGGTCTGAGCTGCTCCTTGCCATGTTCACAACCCTTCAATGGCTCCCGTTGCCCCCAAAGCTTCTGAAACCAGCACTCTACCATGGGGGCATGGGGGTGGCGCTGAATTAACAATCAGAAGTGCTGAATTACAGAGCTGAGAAAGATGGGGCATCAGCGAAGGCTATGCTGTTCTTTTATTGAAGGGCAAACTGGGGTCCACGCATTTTTCTATGGTCCAGGCAGACACTGGGCTGGATTGCAGCCCAAGGTTCATTGTGAAGGAGGGGAAGAAGGGAGGGTGGAGGGTGGGTCAAATTCTCTGCCTCGGCTGATTCAGCGTGTGACCCTGGGCCTTGGTTTCCTGTCTGGGTCTTAAGGTCCCCACATATTAAGATCAGGACAAAGGGACATCAGGGGTGAGGCAGCAAGAGGGTGGGCTCTGGAGCCTGACAGACCTGGTTCCAATCCCAGCTATGCCCCTTCCAGGCTGTGTGACTGCGCATGTGGCTTGCCCTCTCTGGGCTTCATTTCACCATACAAAAGATGGTAGTGTGAGGGGGAATTGACCTCTGCCTTACAGGGCTGTTAGGTGGATGAAAGGGCATTGTGTCTGTGCCTGATCCAGTCAAAGCACAACTTCCCATTGCCCTGACCCCTGATGGCCCCTCCCCCATGCTTCACTGGCTCTGTACCAGGCACCCGCCACCCCCCACACCGGGGCTCAAGCCAGAAATCTAGGAAGACCCCTTTTGCTTCCTGTCCTTACCTCCCTCAACCATTTCGCCGGCAAGTTCTGTTGGCCCTTCTTCTTATGAAACTCATCTGAGCTCTGAGATGACTCGTACTGTCACTGCTGCTACCCAGGTCCTCGCCCTGTTCAACTCCTGCCCAATGGCCAGAGCCTTTCCTGTCCCCCGCTTGCCCCCCCCCCGTCTGTCCTAGCAGCAGCATACAGCTGAATGGACCCTTTAAACACAATCCGATCAAGCTCTTCCTCCACTTAAAACCCTCCAATGATTACCCTGCACACAAATGAAGGTACCTCCACTCCTCACCTGACCCCCCCTTTCATCCCTTCCAGAAGAGGCCACAGCGGCCCTGAGACATGTCTCAGTGCTCCCGGATCCCAGCCCCCACCAACCTCTTGTCAGCATGGCTCCTTCCTGCAGGTGCCACCTCTGCTGTCCCAACCCCGTACTGCCTCTCACTGGTGGTGTGAAGTGTCCCGGGGCCAATTCTTGCTCATGAGTGGTGGCCAGCAGTCAGTATATGGGTGTTCTGCTCATTTCCAGGGTGAAGCGATGACAGCCAGCATATATTGAGTGTGCGTTACGTGCAAGCTGGAATTCTAAACCAGTGGTTCTCAGAGTTGTCCTAAGTGTTCTTCTAAACCAGCGATTTTGCCCAGGGGACTCTGCGCAATGAGTGGGGACATGTCACAACTGGGGAGGGGGTGCTACTGTCATCTAGAGGGTGGAGCCCAGGGGTGCTGTTCACCTGACAGTGCACAGGCTGGCCCCACATTGGAGAATGACCTGGCTCACGATGTCAGGTGTCCAGGTCGAGAAGCCCTGCCCTGGACCAAGGTCAAGCTGGTACGGTGGCTGGGGGCTATGGTGGAGGGTTCTCAGTGACAGACAAGAGGCCGAGATTTGGGTTCATACCTGCGAATGTGATAGTGGCAGTAATCACAGCACCTACTGTGTGACCTGAATGCTTTCTGTGTGCCAGGCCCTGTACTGAGCACATATGAGGAGGAAACTGAGGCACAGAGAGATTGAGTGGCTTGTCCAGCATTGTCCAGCGGGGTGGACGCACCGTGTTGGGGGAGAAAAGGGGCGTGCCTATGACGCTACCTCCCACCCACCCAGGATTATGGCACAGCCCTGCGGGGACTGTGCGAAGACGCCCTGGAAGGCCTGCTCTTCCTGCTGCTCTTCTCCCTCCTGTCCGCGGGGGCCCTGGCCACCGCCCTCTGCAGCCTGCCACGAGCCTGGGCCCTGTTCCCGCCCAGGTCAGGACGGGAGAGGGCGGGGGGAGGAGTCTTGGGAGAGGTCCCTGTTTGGGGGGACGGCCTCCTGATGGATCCCCCATCCTCCTTCTCTGCCACTCCCCCCATCACACCCCAGTGATGACTATGATGACACGGACGATGATGACCCTTTCAACCCTCAGGTACTGGACTCCTGGGTCTGAGGGAGGAGGGGCTGGGGCCTGGAGTCCTGGGTCTGTTGGAGGGGACTGAGGACCCACACTACAAAGCCAGATACCTACATCATGGCCTCCTCTAACTCCAAATCCTCTGCAGGAATCCAAGCGCTTCGTGCAGTGGCAGTCGTCTATCTGAGCCCCTCTTCCATGCCAGACTGGAGGCTGCCCCCCCTCTCCGGTGAGCTTCCAGAGTGACACCCCCGCTCCCGAAGTCGGCTTCCACTCACCTCTCCCATTCTGAGCACAGTGGTGGCCCTCTGGCCAGCATCTGGTGCCTTATTTCTTCCTCTCTCTGCAGTTCCCTCCCTGGATGCCAGAGAAGACCCCACTAACCTAGCCTGAGTGGGCTCCCACCACTAACACCATGGACACCCCACACAAGACTGCCTCCCTGCCCTGCCCCTCTACATGTCCTTAGCCCTGGGAGAAGGCTAAGGGGGCAGGCCAGGGCCAGGGGCTGGCCAGGCAGGGGGCCCCTCCTCCCTGGTCGCCAGGTTCATCCTTGAAGGGACATGAGTTCCCCCACACCCACCATGCCCCGGTGGGCTTAGGGCCCTTGATCTCAACTTGTGGCACTAACTTGGGAATGGGTTGGTTTGAAATAAAAGGGAAGACTTTATTTTACAAGCAGCTGGTTCCTTCTTATTTCTCCTCTCCCTCATCTAGCCTCCTGGTTGGGTTGGGGAGACCCCTTCACCTTGGCCTGTTTGCTGCCAGGCATTTCTGCTCCTGGCCAGGCTCTAAAGCAGTTCCAAAGGGACTGCTCTTCTTTAAAAAAAAACAATTTTTTCTCCCCAATTCTAAAAGCAATACATGTGTCCTGACAGGAAGAGACAGCCATCCCCGGGACAGAATAGACAGCCTAGAAATAGATCTCGGTATGTGTATGTATGACAGAAAACAGATTTTAAGTCAGGGTGACAAGGATGGCTGGTTTCACAGCACTGCTGACATGATTGTCTCCATCTGGAAGAAAATGCTCTGTGTACAAGATGGGTGACACACCTAAAGGTAGACAAGAGAACAGAAGTATTTCCAGAGAAAGAAGAATTTTGTATAATGTATATCTTGCTTGTAGGGGGCAGATTTTAAGCAAGATATCCTAAAGCTGGAAAGGAAAAGGCCATTTATTTGACAAATTGTGGAATGAAAAAAATACTGTATAGTCAATAGACAAATTGATAGTCTGGGGAAAATTGTGTGTGTAACACAGCAAAGAAATATATAATTCTTTTTTTTTTTT